AAAGCCTTTTTGAATCTAAAATCATTATCTAATACAACATCCAGTGCATCATATTCTTTCTTCCAGAGTCCAGTTGTTGAACATCAGTGGCACATTTTAAGTGCAAAAACTAGTTTAAAGCCTTTTTTTTAAAACTGCAAAGTCCCTAAACCCATAAAAAGATAAAATTCTGACCTTGCTCATGGCCATAATACAGCCTTTTCCATCTCTTTGTCACTGCCTATTCTCAGAGTATTTGCCTCTCCCCCCCCGAAGTTGAACGTGGTCCTCCACCACCAAAGGCTGACCAGAACTGTCTGATTTGTTGGGCCATTTGGGCCATTGCTGCTTGTAAATTATTTATCTGGGCATCGACTTCTTGTTGATGTTGTAATAAAGCTGCCGCCAAAAGCTGTGGTGTCAAACCAGCCCCCTGGGGATCTGTTGCCATACTTCAAAATTCCTCCTTCTCAATGGGAGTAGCAAGTCTGGCAAGATTGATGTCAGGTTAAGCCCAAGAAACTCCACGAGACAGTTCTGGAACAGCTCAGTTACTTTATTAGCTCACACCTGCTAGACAGAATCTCGCCAGACTAACTCTAAACTCCCTAAGCCAGCAACTAAACACTATGAATTCCTTAGTCTCATCTTCTTTGCTTTCCCATGCTCACGCTGGGGCCTGAGGAGATGCTTCTGTCCTTGACTCCTCTCATTCCATTCCATCACATATAGGTTCTCATCTATGTTTGCTCAGACTCACTCTTTGTCTCCCTCCAGTGATGCTCTAGGTAGCTCTTATGCTGCTTCATCTCCTGCAGTCTCTCCAAAAACCAGTGGGCCTTCTGGGATTCACACTCATAGATGTCCGCATAGGCGTGACCCAGTCCAAGGCTGCTATTGCTTGCTCATTCCAAGCATCGACTAAGGCCTCAGTCAAACTGTGCCCCAGAACTTCAGGAACCACCCCAAATTCTCTTCAAAATCCTTGTGTCCATCAGGTGCCTGGGGTGGACCAATCAAATAGAACTCTCCTTCCTGCAGCAAGGGCAGCCACAGAGAACTCTAAAGCCAACAGGGAGTGATCCATCCATGACAAGAGACTAATGACAATATCCCCCAATTCCATATCGTGTTGTTACTGCTCTGAGACAAAAGCTAAATCAAATATGTGACCTCCACCATGAGTTGGGCCATCAATAATCAGGACCAGGCCCATGGTGTCCCCCAGGATCATAAGCCTGGGAAACTCCACTGCCAAGCCAGCCACAGAGTTAAGCAGCTCAGGCATGAAGCTGGTACAGAAGCAGCAATCCCATCTGATCCCTACAACCCAGCTCCATAAACATGGCCTCACATCTAGCCATCTGTGGAGCACTGCCCTGGAGGCATCAGTCTCCCAGGTGGCAATGGCCATATCCCCACCCTGCCCCAAAGTCTCAGCTGATGCTGCACCTGAAACCAGGTGAGCACATTTCTGGAAGGGGGACCACCCTCCTGCACCTACGGATGTATTAAGGATATGTCCCTAACAATTGGCTGGAGAGGCATCTTCAGACTGCAGTTTGGAGGATGTGTAGGTTGCGGGGGGGGGGAGGCATTTTTCCTGTTTCAGAAGGAGTTGAATGGTGAAATTAGTTAGGTTTAAAGTACCTATTTTATACATTAAGCCACCCCAAATAAAAAGAGGACAAAATTTTTAATCCTACCCTCACTGGGGACCACAAATGGATGCTAATGTCCACATAAGACCTGCAAGCTTTTATTTGGTCACCCCTGATTTTGATAGGAGGGGCATCTAGAAATCGTACTTGGTACCCTTAATACTCTGGTCTGGTTCATACAATATATAATAAGGGGCCCATTTAATTTTCGACTTCCTCTGTCCTCCTTAACTTGAAGCTGATCTTCTTCTGGATAAGTGGAAATAAGAGTCATTTCAGTATATAGGCAGAGGGAGATGCTTCTAGTTCTTTTCCTTATAAAACAAATAGTGCAAGTATCTGGACTATTTGAAAACCATAACAATGGCAACCCTGGGGTTGCCCCCACATGTCACCGGCCTAACACATATTGCAGGACATACTCTGCATGTGGTTTTTTTCAGCTGGTTGGGAGGAAGGTGATCTGAATGGGGGAGACCTCTGGGTCAGTCACGCTCAGATTATTCCCTGATGAAGTATCCACTGTCAGGAGCTTGTCCCCTCCGCAAGACTGAGGGAGCTATCAAGACGATCTGCCCCCAGAAGTCAAATGGATTCCTCCAGATTTCAGAGGGCTCCAGGAGAATTTCCTGCTGGCCGTTCCTGTCAATACTCCAGTAGCTCTCAGAGTTGTTTCTGGCGGTTGACCCAAGTGTTGTTAAGTGCCCTTTCCCCGCCTGCAGAGCCCACTGTGAAGCAAATGGGGCATTGGCTAAAATGCAAATGGAGGAAAACTTGTGTCAGTCGAACACGGCTTAAAGCTCACTACTCAGTGCTGGTAAAGGTGGTAAAGAGGCGTTTCTTCTCTCCCTTCAGTGTCACCCAGCAGAGTTTTTCAGTAGTTGGGGGCTGCTGCAATCCAGACCAAAGAAAGAAGCTGCTGAGTTCTCAGTAGCATGCTGTTTGCAAGACCCTTTGAAGATAAAATTACTCACATTCACCACAACTTAGCCTGTGCAATTAATGCAACTCCAGAAGTGGGAGTGTTCAGAGCACCATCCTCTCCTGTTTTCTTGGATGTGCTTCAGTTGTGGTGGCTCGAAGAAGTAGGCAAGGTAGAGAGTTGTTTCTGTTTCATGTTTGCTCTGCCGCATGCATGCTCAACTTTTGCCTTTCTTGGCTTATGAAAACTAGTAAGGAAGGGCTGCCCAGCTGGGTCCAGGAGGCTGCAAATGCCTCATTGAGAGAGCGAGTGGCTCCAACCTCTTTTAAAAAGGCAGGGATACTGAAGAAACCGAACCAAGGATGAAAACAGCTGTAGGCCGGTGGCCAATACTCCCTTCCTGGGCATATGGCCAATCAACTCCAGGCTCTCTTGGTGAAACTGATTTTTTAGATCCACTGCAATCCAGTTTCAGGCATGGCTGTGGAACAGAAACCATTTTGGTCACCCTGCGGGATGACCTGCATCAGGAAAAGACAGGGAAAGTGTGACCTTGTTGATCCTCCTGGACTTCTCAGTGGCTTTTGATACCATCAACCATGACATCCTCCTGGACAGGCTGTCTGAGTTGGAATAAGGGGGCACTATCGTACAGTGGTTCCTTTCCTACTTGGATGGCCATTTCCAGAAGGTGGTGCTGAAAGATTACTGTTCTGCCTCATGGCAGCTGGGACTATGGAGTCCCTCAGGGCTCCATTTTAACCCCTATGCTTTTTATCATCTACTTGAAACTACTGGGAGAAGTCATTCAGGGATGTGGGCTGAGGTGCCATCTATATTGCAGCTCTATCTCTCCCTGGGCAGAATAAAGGAGTAGATGAGGGCCAGTAAATTGAGTCTCAGTCCAAACAAGATGGAGATACTATTTGTGGATAATGCATCTGTCCAGCCAAGAGTGTCTCCTTTGTCTTGAATAATTTCAACAGCCAGCCTTTGAACCTCACTGTGAATCACTTCCATCCAGTAAAACATGTAGTTAAAACTCTGGCTATGGGATTGAAAACTGCTGAGTGAGTAAGTCTATGAGTGAGTTATGGTCAATCAGAAAAAGTTTCAAGTGCCAGTTGTTTAATCAGAGTAAGAACAAAATTATGTTTTCCACCTAGCAGTAGGCTCTGAAATGAAAAAAAGCTTACGAGTATCTTTTGGCCAAATCTCCCCCCCCCTTAGGTAAATATGATCAATCTGAAATCTGTCCATCTCCTTGATAGGATACTTCCAAGCATGGCTTTTACAACACAGTTCTCCTGCTTCGTTCATGGAATCTGATGGGAGTCCAGACAATATGTACTCTACTTGCAACCTTTCCCCATGCTTCTTCCATTTTTCTTTCCAGAGAAAGTTTATTCAGAAGGAAGAGGAAAACATAGAATGGTCAGAACTACCAGATCTGGCCTACAAAATCTGGATATATTTATTTATTCATTCACTGACTAGGCTTATATGCTCCTCCAATCATGTCTGTCTGTGGGTGGTTTACAGATCTCCAAAAATGACAGCAAAGAGTTACAGTTTTCTGGAATTATAGGCATTTTTCTTCTGATTGGAGGGAATGCATCACACCATCCCATCTTCCATCTCCTGTTTAATACCGCATATGTTACACGTTCCCACTCAATCCACCCAATTTAGTAACATGCTCCCATTATCCTTGCTATTGGGAAAAGTATTCAAGTTCAGGTTTGCTGCCATGCTACTGTCACAGGGTTTGCTAAAAGTCTGCCTTTATGTGGTTTGTTCTGTTATCATCATGATAAACTGAAAACTTTTGAGGCTTTTCAATATATTTGTTAATTCTTTTAACTACTTATCTTCCCTTGCAGCCATCCTGATATCAAGCTATCAGAATGTATGTTCTGCAAACGATATAAGTTTACACAAATACATCTGGAGAAATGTATGGACAGCATTTGTGTGTAAGGGAAGATACTAGAAATGTTATTTGCTATTTTTGTGAGGGAAGGGGAGAGACATATTTGTTAAATCATGGACCACTAGAAGTTCAGGGGCAGGTCCTCAGTGACTGAATAGCTTTAAAACAGGAACTGCAAACACTGATTAGCTAGCATCCTCTGATCTTTGCTAATTTTGATGGAGAAAGTGAGAGCTACAATTGGCTGAAGATATTTCTGCAGGCTCCGGATCAAACATGCACATCTATGGATGCCGCTATGCTTAAAGTATTGGAGATCTGCAGATGGTGAAGACAGGGGTCTTGTGAATGATTGGTCAGTAGGAAGACTGCTGATGTGACAGACCTCAATGTCACTGGATTGGAAGGACTAAGTGCCCTTGGTTTGGAAGTGTTCTTACAATGGGCAATAATTGGCATCAACATACTTTTAACTGCATGTGTAGTGGCAAAATGTGGTAGCTGGAACTTCTATTCATAGACCACCTTCCTCCCAACTTTTCCACCCCACTCCTTTTACAGAGCCTGAGCGGGTTTAGGCCAAGTTCGAGTCAACACAAAATCCATCATGGAGGTCGGCAAGTAAGAGAGAGGAATGAAGAAGAACTGAGAATCCCAACCAGCAGAATAGCGCGTACGGGGGTGCTTGGATATCAAAGCATGTTCCATGCAGTCAGTCACCATGTAGAGGTCTGTGCAGCAACAAGTTGTAAGAGTGCCTTTGAATAGCTTGTAAACTGTTTTGAGAGAGAAAGAGAGAGAGAGAGAGAATACAGGGAAGAGGGAAAGAAAGGAAATCAGTATGGAGATGTGTGATCCAAAATACCAGAGAAAGCATAAAGAAATAAAACAGCCTCTCCATTACTACATGAGTAAAACAATAGCAGCTTTCAAATCTATGCATAGTTTTCTCTCACTCTCAGAAGAAAATTCTGAGATGGGAAAAGTCAGCCTCTCCCCAGAGTTATCACAGATAACAAGCACAGATAAGCTCCATGACCTCTGTTTCTACAGCTCTGCATTGCTTCCTCACCCACTGGCCCACAGGAATTTTCCTCACTGAGGCCTTATAAAGCATCTGGAAATTAAGACAGTTTAAGAAATCCCCTCCAGATTTCAACCCATTTGTCCAGTTTGGCCACTGTGATGTCTAGGGCTCCTGTCCAGATCTGAGTTAACATGGCCCCTGATTGGTGGATTCCCCTGCTTTTTCCCCACATGCACACCTATGTCAGGAAAATAAGTGCCAATTTCTTTCTCTTCTGTGGGCAGGGCACATCTTTTCAGAACTGGTGGAAAAAAGGACAACGGTAGATCGTAGATCAGTAAAGTTCATACAGCTGAGCAGTGATACCCACCAGGAGGTCCTTCAGTGCATGTAACAAAAGGGATGGAGCTTCAATTACCCCCATTGTGGGGTGAACTGCCACTGAAGCTGAGCAAATCAACAGTCCCTCCCAACTTCTGCTCCCTGGTAAGGTTCTCCTGATTACCCTGCAAGCCACATAAAGACTCACGCTTGTCAAAATAAGGCTGGCCGTAGCTTTCCCTGACTTCTTCAGGGGCTTTGATCCATTGCTGCTCCAAGCTCTCAAGGTTGTTTTGGATATTGGTCATGGATGTGCGAAAATAGCCCGGCTCGATGATGGCTACTTTCACCCCAAATGGGTGGATCTCACGCCTAGAAAGAAATGATGGGTTCAGAGTCACTGCCTGGGAGACAGCAAGCTTCCTCTAGCAGAGCATGAGAGATTTCAAGAAACCTGATCTTTTTCAATCTGGTGGGAAAATTCCATTTCTATGTCAGTCCTGCCATGGAAATGCTCTCTTTGCCATTTAAGCAATTCCCATCTTTTGTTTCACTTGCTTATTTATGAGTAGTAATAAATTATTGCTCTCTCCATGGGATTTAATGGCAGAAATTCTGCTGTTTTGGCAAGCAGATACTGAGCTAAAGCCACCCACTATATCTTTCTCAGCTTTGCCTATCTCACAGAGCCATTATGATGATAACATTGGGGTATTAAGTTCCTAGAGGAAAGGCAGGTTATAAGTTCAAAAGATGAGTAAATAAATACATAAAATATATTGCTAGATAGATTGATTTTCAGAGAATAAACTCTTTTCCTCATCAGTTTAACCAAATAGTAAGTTTAACTTGGCCCATTTTCCTATGTCAGATTGGATATGATAATAGAAACAGCTAGGAAAGCCCTTGATTGAGTTCTACTGTCTTCCTCCTGATCTATCTAAACTTTTTTTTTTTTTTTTGTCTGCGCTCAGTCATTGCTGACCCTGCAGTGACTGCTTGGAC